CGGTCCATAATTGGACATAGCTCCCATACAAGGTCCCCTCCCGAAAATCACTTAAACGCGCATAACTCATTACTTAATTAAGATATCCATACAAAATTTGGTATAAATATTGCCCATATGCATAGAAATATTACTGTGAAAATGTTTTCCGATCGGTTCAAAATTGGTCATAGCTCCCATACAAGGTCCCCTCCCGAAAATCAGTTAAACGCGCATAACTCATTACTAAATTACGATATCCATACAAAATTTGGTACAAGTATTGTCCATATGCACAGAAATATTACTGTGAAAGTTTTTTCCGATCGGTCCATAATTGGTCATAGCTCCCATACAAGGTCCCCTCCCGAAAATCACTTAAACGCGCATAACTCATTACTAAATTAAGATATCCATATAAAATTTGGTATAAGTATTGCCCATATGCATAGAAATATTACTGTGAAAGTTTTTTCCGATCGGTCCATAATTGGTCATAGCTCCCATACAAGGTCCCATCCCGAAAATCACTTAAACGCGCATAAGTCATTACTTAATTAAGATATCCATATAAAATTTGGTATAAAAGTTGCCCACATGCATAGAAATATTACTGTGAAAATTTTTTTGGATCGGTTCAAAATTGGTCATAGCTCCCATACAAGGTCCCCTCCCGAAATCACATAAACGCGCATAACTCATTACTAAATTAAGATATCCATATAAAATTTGGTATAAGTATTGCCCATATGCACAGAAATATTACTGTGAAAGTTTTTTCCGATCGGTCCATAATTGGTCATAGCTCCCATACAGGGTCCCCTCCCGAAAATCACTTAAACGCACATAATTCATTACCAAATATTGATATCATACATTTAGCAAAATTATTGCTCTTATATACATAAATTACACTATAAAATTGTTTTACGATCGGTCCATATTTGGTCATTGCTCTCATACTAGGTCCCCTCCAGAAAATCACTTAAATGCACAATATTCATTACCAAATAAAGCTATTGATACAAAATTTGCCACAAATATTAGTTTTGTATACAAAAATTCTATTTCAAGATTTCTCACGATCGGCTCACTTAAACGCGCATAACTCATTACTTAATTAAGATATCCATACAAAATTTGGTATAAATATTGCCCATATGCATAGAAATATTACTGTGAAAATGTTTTCCGATCGGTTCAAAATTGGTCATAGCTCCCATACAAGGTCCCCTCCCGAAAATCAGTTAAACGCGCATAACTCATTACTAAATTAAGATATCCATACAAAATTTGGTACAAGTATTGTCCATATGCACAGAAATATTACTGTGAAAGTTTTTTCCGATCGGTCCATAATTGGTCATAGCTCCCATACAAGGTCCCCTCCCGAAAATCACTTAAACGCGCATAACTCATTACTAAATTAAGATATCCATATAAAATTTGGTATAAGTATTGCCCATATGCATAGAAATATTACTGTGAAAGTTTTTTCCGATCGGTCCATAATTGGTCATAGCTCCCATACAAGGTCCCATCCCGAAAATCACTTAAACGCGCATAAGTCATTACTTAATTAAGATATCCATATAAAATTTGGTATAAAAGTTGCCCACATGCATAGAAATATTACTGTGAAAATTTTTTTGGATCGGTTCAAAATTGGTCATAGCTCCCATACAAGGTCCCCTCCCGAAATCACATAAACGCGCATAACTCATTACTAAATTAAGATATCCATATAAAATTTGGTATAAGTATTGCCCATATGCACAGAAATATTACTGTGAAAGTTTTTTCCGATCGGTCCATAATTGGTCATAGCTCCCATACAGGGTCCCCTCCCGAAAATCACTTAAACGCACATAATTCATTACCAAATATTGATATCATACATTTAGCAAAATTATTGCTCTTATATACATAAATTACACTATAAAATTGTTTTACGATCGGTCCATATTTGGTCATTGCTCTCATACTAGGTCCCCTCCAGAAAATCACTTAAATGCACAATATTCATTACCAAATAAAGCTATTGATACAAAATTTGCCACAAATATTAGTTTTGTATACAAAAATTCTATTTCAAGATTTCTCACGATCGGCTCATAACATGGGTGCGGTCGGTCCCATACAAGGTTCCCTTCCGAAAATCACTTAAACACACATTACTTATTACTAAATTACGATATAGATATAAAATTTTACTGAAATATAGCTTTTATGTACAGAATTTAGCTTAAAGAATTTTTTACGATCGGACTATAATTGGTCATATCTAGGTCCTGCCCCTGAAAGCACTTTAACCGTATTTAACTAGTTGCATTATCAATTTGTGTAGATTATATATATGTATTTTGAAAATCCTTTAATTTCACACAAATATCGCTAAGCGCTATAAAAATATAAAGAAAATTGCGTTTGTAATGTTCAATAAATCATGGAATTGTAATAGATTTAAGCTGTTTAAATCCTGGGATTTTTCTATTTAAGACATGAGAAAACTTATTTCTACAAATATTTGATCAATTAGAAAAGTATTAATATAGAAGTAGCTGGTGGAGGGTATTTAAGATTCGGCTCAGCCGAATTTAGCACTCTAACTTGTTATTTCTTCCATTTCTCCTTAAAATTGTTTATTTGGATTTCAGTGTTACCCGTACAAACTTTTTAGCTCTAATACTTTATCAGATATATGAAATTTGTTTTTTTGTTTATAGGGGATGTGCAACGTCCCTATTTCTAATCATCCAATTTATTACCGAAATATTCACATAAATGACATATTTGTTTGTGCAAACTTTGAGGTTTCTAGCTTTAAGCGTTTCCTAGATATACACATTTTTTATTTAATTCATATGGAGGGTGCCATGTCCCCTATTGCTAGTCCTCTAATTTTTCCTCCAAATAATCATATGGATGTCAAAATTGTCCATGCTAAATTTTAAGACTCTAGTTGCACCGTATTCTTAGATATTCGACTTTTGAAGAAGTGGGCGTGGCACCCCTCCCACTTGCAATTTCAAAATAAAAAGTAGCCAATAGTTTCTTCCAGATATAGCGGAACATATACTGAAAATTTCAAGTAGATCGCTTATAAAGAACTTTTGCTATACAAATATCGTTATAATGAACTGTTATACGTAACATTTTCTAATGAAAAAAGATAGTTATACATAACCGTTTCCTTAGAAAAATCTATTCGATGGAAAAGTTTGATGTCAAAAAAGAATTAAAAACTAATTTTACTATAGAAAAATCTGTTATACTGCAAATTTACCAAATACCAATCGGCTCAGAAATACTTTCTGAGTCGATTAAGCTATGTCCGTCCGTCCGTCTGTCTGTCTGCAGGTCGCAATTTTTAAGATAATTTGATGAAATTTGCGCTTCTCTTGGTCCAAGGACGAACGCTATTGAAAATGGTTGAAATCGGTCCATTATTTCACCTATCCACCATACAACCGAACCCCCCGAATAGGGCTTTTGACCTCATAATTATGTTAAATGATCTACTATCTTTACAAAAATTGGCAAAATTTAGTTTTATATATATCTTAATAATTCTAGTGATTTTCGTAGAGATCGGGCATCATTTGACCCTAGCTCCCATACAAAGTCCCCCTCAGAAAATTACTTGAATGTCCCCAATTCACTTATAAACATTATTATCACGATGAAACTTGGCAAAAATGATAAAAAGATAATTTCCAACAATAAATTTTATAGGGATCGGCCCAAGTTTTGCCCTAGCCTCCATATAACCGGACCTTCCGATTTAGGCCTTTTAGCTCATAACTTTGTCAAATATACTATTATCTCTCCAAACTAACAACTAAGTTTGATATAATTATAAATAACACTGTAGATTTTTTTACAGAGTATTTTCTATAAAAAAGTGTCATATAGAAGTTTATACGGAAAATCTAAAGTTAGAGACAAGTTTTAAATATTGTTATACGAAACTTTTTCTTTAGAAAAATAGGTTTTATAGAAGAAAAAACCCGTTATACGGTACATTTTTATAGAAAAAAATTGTTATAAAGAAAATTTTCTGTAGAATATAATGTATGGAACTTTTACTATATAGTAAAAGTGTTATAAACAAGTTTTTCTTAAATAAAATAAAAAAATTAAAAAAACTGTTATACGGATATCTCTTACTATTGAACAAAATCCGGTTATATGGTACGTATTCCAAAATGTAATTCATTACACAAATTTAGGTTTTACAGAAAATTTCCATAGAAAAAAGTGTTATACAGATGTTTTTCGATAAAAAAAGAACATGTTAAACAGGACTTGTTCTTTTGAAAAATATTTTAAAAAATTCTACTAAAGTGCAATAAAAACTGTTATATACAGAACATTTTCCATTAGAAAAGCAGTTTTATTTAAATTTAACTGTTACACAGAATTAATTTTACATAAAAAACTATTAATGTATTTCAAAAGAATTTCTATACACAAAAATCAGTTGCACAAAACTTTTCCTATAGAAGAATACTGTTATACAGATAAAATTGTTACTGATAAACCCCCCTATAGATGTCTTTCTTCTTCAAATGTTCTTTACAGGCAACTTATAAAATATTAATAAATTTATTGAGTGAAAAAAATGCTAGACGACACAAATGAAAGAAAGAAAATATCGAAATTAAATTGCACTTAAATCAGTGCAAATAAAACTAAAATTCAAGGTAGAAAATCTATAGCAAATACAAACACACCCACCTTCCTCTTAAAAAATATAAAGAAAAAAAGTTCATTCGATAACAAATATTTGTAGCACTTGACAAAACAAACATTATTACAATTTCAATTGAAATGAACTATTCTTTTCTACAGTTTTGCTTTCAATATTTATTCTTTCTTTCATTGATAAATTGCACTTTTAAAAGAATCTCTTAAATTTATATCTTTTAATTTCTAACAAGAGTATAATAAAATAAAATTGATTTTGTAGATAATTAAGTAAATATTTTGCTAGAATTAAAAAACAATAAATAACTTACCAGTAATATTAGTAGTTTGTTGTTGGCCGTTTGTTGTAACCATGAATTACAATTAAATTTTTTATATACACTTTTTAAATTTCTATAATTTTTATCCATTTTTTTAAATATTTTTTAGCACAAAAGATGCTTTCTAACTTCCAGCGTTTCTCTTCACTGTTTTTAACGATTTCTCTTATTTTTTGACTATTTGCAACTTGTGTTGTTATGTTTGTAATAGCTGCTGGTAATAATGACAATATTGTTGTCGTTGTTAGTAGTTCTAGTTTTTGTTCATAATAGTATATTATTTGCTGGTAGTTTAAATTACACTGATGTAACAAAGACGTTGCTATTTGCCCGTCAGCCATCACATTTACCAACATCTCGCAAAGACCCCAACAGATATTGATACCAGAACCAGAACATTATTCTTTGCTACTTGTATTCTTCTTCTAGTTTTTTTTAGTTTCCTGTAGATTTGTTTTTTTTCTCTTCGTCAATATTTGTGACACAAATGATGTTTTGCTGGCTTAGCGTAAAAGTTTACTTGAAGAACATTACTTTTCTATAATTTTTTTTTTAGTTAAAATGTCATTCAGTTTAGTTAAAGTTGTTAAACAAGCATTGCAGTGGATTAGAGAGAGCGTAGAAGTAGAATCACGTATTCCGGCTTTTATAACTTGCGTTACTTTTCTGTTATATGTAGACTTTATAACAAGGAAAAGAAAGGCATTTTATTTTTCAAGTTTATTTTTTTAGATTTTATTTAAAATTAAGTCATTTTTGTTGTAGAGTTTTAAAGGTGAAATCTAAAAGTAAAAAGAATTAAATATGTTTATGGATCAAATATAATTTGTTATAAATGATTAGGATTTGATAAATTATAAGAATATATTAATATCTTTCCATTTATATGCTTCTTAATATGCTTCATAACAATTTTGTTACACAAAATTTTTCAATAGAAAAGACAGTTATACAGAACTTTTTCAATAAAGGAACAGTTGTACAGAATGTTTTCTATAGAAAAATTGTTATAATTAAAAAAGTTTTATGCGAAAATTTTCTCAAGGTTAAGGAACATTTTCTTAAGTTAAACGTGTTACATGACACTATTTTATACAGAACAGTTCTTATGAAATAAAACTACTATACAGAATATTTTCTATAGGAAAATAATTTCCATCAAACTTTTTCTATAGAAAAAACTGTTATACAGAACTTTTCCATAAACATAATTGTCGTATATAACATATTCTATAGAAAATAGTGCAATTTCTTATTTTTGATTAAATAAAAGTAAAATAACTGTTACATTAAAGGTTATAAAGGCATTTTCAGTAAACATCTTTTCTTATACTACTATACAGCTTTTTCTACAGAAAAACTTTTATGAGAAAATTTTCACTTTCTTAAGATAAAAGTGTTATACAAAACTCTATTTATAGAAAAAATCATTTCTATCAAACTGTTGTTGAACACAATACTTTTTTATTGAAAAAACGCTGTTACGCAGATCTTTTTGTAAACATATTCTTTATTAAATTTTTATATAGAATATACTGTTATAAAAAATTATTCTATTAAACAACAGTTTCTATAATATAAATCTATTACAAAAAATATTTTCAATAAAAAAGTATTATACATAAAGTGTTCTATATAATAAAGCTTTTTTTATACAAAAGACTGTTATACAAAACTTTTCCACAAAACAATTATGCGATGATCGTTTTCTACAGAAAGTACTGTGAAGCGGAATAAGTTCTATAGAAAAAAGCTCCGTCTAAAAAGTTTTCTCAGGGTTAAAGTATTATACAGAACATTCACTAACTAACTAACTAACTAACTAACTAACTAACTAACTACTAACTAACTAACTAACTAACTAACTAACTAACTAACTAACTAACTAACTAACTAACTAACTAACTAACTAACTACTAACTAACTAACTAACGAACTAACTAACTAACTAACTAACTAACTAACTAACTAACTAACTAACTAACTAACTAACTAACTAACTAACTAACTAACTAACTAACTAACTAACTAACTAACTAACTACTAACTAACTAACTACTAACTAACTAACTAACTAACTAACTAACTACTAACTAACTACTAACTAACTAACTAACTAACTAACTAACTAACTAACTAACTAACTAACTAACTAACTAACTAACTAACTAACTAACTAACTAACTAACTAACTAACTAACTAACTAACTAACTAACTAACTAACTAACTAACTAACTAACTAACTAACTAACTAACTAACTAACTAACTAACTAACTAACTAACTAACTAACTAACTAACTAACTAACTAACTAACTAACTAACTAACTAACTAACTAACTAACTAACTAACTAACTAACTAACTAACTAACTAACTAACTAACTAACTAACTACTAACTAACTAACTAACTACTAACTAACTAACTAACTAACTAACTACTAACTAACTAACTACTAACTAACTAACTAACTAACTATACTAACTAACTAACTAACTAACTAACTAACTAACTCTAACTAACTAACTAACTAACTAACTACTAACTAACTAACTAACTAATACTAACTAACTAACTAACTAACTTAACTACTAACTAACTAACTAACTAACTAACTAACTAACTAACTAACTAACTAACTAACTACTAACTAACTAACTAACTACTAACTAACTAACTAACTAACTAACTAACTAACTAACTAACTAACTACTAACTAACTACTACTAACTAACTAACTAACTAACTAACACTAACTAACTAACTAACTAACTAACTAACTAACTAACTAACTAACTACTAACTAACTAACTAACTAACTAACTAACTAACTAACTAACTAACTAACTAACTAACTAACTAACTAACTAACTAACTAACTAACTAACTAACTAACTAACTAACTAACTAACTAACTAACTAACTAACTAACTAACTAACTAACTAACTAACTAAAGAACTAACTACTAACTAACTAACTAACTAACTAACTAACTAACTAACTAACTAACTAACTAACTAACTAACTAACTAACTACTACTAACTACTACTAACTAACTAACTAACTAACTAACTAACTAACTAACTAACTAACTAACTAACGAACTAACTAACTAACTAACTAACTAACTAACTACTAACTAACTAACTAACTACTAACTAACTAACTAACTAACTAACTAACTAACTAACTAACTAACTAACTAACTAAACTACACTAACACCTAACTAACTAACTACCTAACTAACTCTAACTAACTAACGAACTAACTAACTAACTACTAACTAACTAACTAACTACTAACTAACTAACTAACTAACTACTAACTAACTAACTAACTAACTAACTAACTAACTACTAACTAACTAACTAACTAACTAACTAACGACTAACTAACTACTAACTAACTAACTACTAACTACTAACTAACTAACTAAACTAACTAACTAACTCACTAACTAACTAACTAACTAACTAACTAACTAACTACTAACTAACTAACTAACTAACTAACTAACTAACTACCTAACGAACTAACTAACTAACGAACTAACTAACTAAACTAACTAACTAACTACTACTAACTAACTAACTAACTAACTAACTAACTACTAACTAACTAACTAACTAACTAACTAACTAACTACTAACGAACTAACTAACTAACTAACTAACTAACTAACTAACTAACTACTAACGAACTAACTAACTAACTAACTAACTAACTAACTAACTACTAACTAACTAATAACTAACTAACTAACTAACTAACTAACTAACTAATTAACTACCTAACTAACTGATATCTTTTAAAATGTCCTTTATACAGAATATTTTTGAAAAGTTTCTTTTTATAAAAATATTTTAAAAAATAAAATAACATATTTGAAAAATATTTCCTGATACAAACCCAGTAAAAACTTTCATTACCATGTAAGAAGTTAAAATGCTAAAATTTAGTTACACAATAGCATTTTAAGTCATTATTTTAACACGGTGATGTCATTGAAGGCAAATACTAACCACAAACGATTACAAGTAATTGGAAAATGTAAAGCATTAAAAGAATTAAAAAAAATTTCAGAAAAATTTGTTTATCATAAGAAATATTTTTGGAAATTTTTTTTATTTAAAAAGAAATTTTTATAAACTTTGCGAAATTTCCTTTTACAACTACAAAATTTCCTATTACAACTACAAGATTTGCTGCAAAATTTTAATATCCTTTAATCCTTAAATCTCTTTTCATTACTTTGTCAACTTTAAGTGATTCTACAGCATTTTCTTTTTCCTTTTTTTCTCTCTCTTTCTCTATTTTCAGTTTAATTAAAGAAAAACCTCATTTACTCTACAATTTCATTATCATCATTGCCACGTAAGTGTAATTTAATTTTTATTTATAATGAATACATATTTGCAACAACTACAACTTCAGGTACATTTATTCTTAAGTACCAAACATGTGTAGGTTTAAATGTATGTATAATTATGTGTGTATGGGTAAATGTATTGTAGTTTTATTCATTAAGCTTTATATGTTTGCATATAATTTGTTGCAATTTCTATAAACCTGTGTGTATGTATGCTCCATTAACTTTTTTCCTTTAATACCTTTTATGCAGCCATAAACATAGTTTTACTCTTATGAACACCCACACCACCTTAACACGCACTCTAAACTAATTGACTGCATTTCATTTATTCTTGTTCTTTCTCTCTCATTTTCTGTTACCCTTGCTATTCTCTGGTATGGCAATAATTTCAGTAATAGTTGTGGAAATATATAGTGAAGATGGTAGTTAAAAGAACAAAATAAACAATTTCAAACACACAAGTGTATGTGTGTGTATTGCTTGCAAAAACACACACATACACTTGTTTAAGGTTTTTTGCTACTACTGCTTAGAATTTCTTTATTATAACACTTCCCGTAGTTTATGGTTGTATATGCTAAGAAGGACTGAGAAGAGTTAAATATACTAGGTCATAGTAATTTCCCGAATGTTTCAAAATATTATGATAACTTGAAGTGTAAGAGAACGTATGAAGCTATGACATTGCTTTATAAATAGTGGCAGAAAAATTTTTTAAAATTTCAAAAATTTTGATCTCCAGTTTAACTTATCTCAATCACTAACTTAATCTATAACACCTTACAAATGTCTAACATATGTGTATAACGCAGTAACTAAAACGAGCTCGAACACAGGTGTATAAGTAATATTTAATGTAAACATTATTTCTTTTACAGTAAATTTATAAATTGCTGATGGGTAACAAAAACAAAAAGTGTAGTAGAGTATCAGTAAAACAAAAAAAGTTATAAAAAATAACGATTTCCATTAATAATATTACAAATTACCTCAACTTAAGTTAGTTAAAATGTAGTTGTGGTAGTTGCTTTAAAAAAAATCGTTCAATTGAGACAATTTTCTACTGAAAGAGTGCAGTATGCTTCATTATTGCTGCTGCAATACACATTATATAATAAGTATAATACTTTTTCCAACTGGCTTCATTGATTATGTTGTGACGATAATAATGCTTTTAAAAGTGCATATATCGATATCTTTTGAATTGGAAAGTTAATTATTTCTACACGTTTTGTGTTTCTATAGAGAGTATATATAGTATTTTAATTATAGTTTTTTTTATATATAACGAACAAATGAACTCCACCGCTACCCACAATGTTTATTATGTATGTAGTGTTTAATACGTATGAGTGTTTTTTATTTTTGGAAGAATTAAATATAACTCATTCGCTTAGTAATACACT